TTTGTGTGCTTTTAATCAATATTGGCTTTAGCTAGTGAAAGGGCATTTTCAGTCACGTAATTTCTTGTTGAAATTTGATATTTTTATTTATTAATTCATTTACCTGATTGTTTATCACACTGATCTCGTTTATCATAACCAAACAATACACACAGACGATATTATTATTAAAAAAAGACAAAAAGCTTCTGCAGCATGATAAGACAAGTTGACAAAAGGGATGACTGACGTAGTTGACGTACTGAAGTGAATATAGTCACAACAAATCGTCACGCTGAAATCATCCTGAAACTCCACACATCACTTTATCGAAATCCCTTTCCAATCTCGGAATGGCTCAAATCTCACTTTTAAACCCGTAATCACTTCCACAATCTCCGCAACATTTTAGGAAGATTGCTTCGAAAAATTCTTTGAAATCCTTGCAGTTTTGAATGTATTATAGTTAAGTCAAATCAAATATGCCTTATTATTAAAAGAGTCAGTAATTATTCTCATTCACAAAGCTCTCGACAACCATATATAGAGTAATAATTTATAGGCAGGCATACAGATTTTTATAAAAATAAAAATTCCTCAACTATCAAGCTATACCTACATGTGACAAAACAAGGTACAGATACTATCAAGAAATAAACGATACCCACACATAAAACAAAACAAATCATACGAAACCCACATCCAAATAAAATTTCTTTCAAACTATAGTGTAGTTGTCCACTTAACTTTATACGTAAATAAATTGGTCTATTTATCCCTGACTTACAAACTACGCGCTTTATATGCAAAAACTTTCAGTCAAGAAATTTCGTAAATTTACGTTTGAGTTTCTGAATATTCGTACTCGGGCGTAAATAGTGTGACCGCACTTGAATTTCGTAACAATGAATTATTATAATAATGCACGACGTTATTTTAAAAATTGTTATCAAATTTTGGAAATTAGAAAAAAATACCATAACTAGATAATGAGTATCTATACAAAAGTAGTATATACAACAGACATCTTGCTTTCTGAACCAGTGTCCTATTCATACGTTCAGACATTCCGTTCTGTTCTGGAGTCTAACTATTTGTTTTCTGATGTATGATCCCATTTTTCTTGAAAATAATTTCAAATTCCTTCCAAGAGTATTCACCACGGTTGTCGCTTCTGAAATGCTTTATCTTTTTATTTGTTTGATTTTTAACTATGTTTTTGAATTCCAAAGAATTTCTCTAAAACTTGATCTTTGGTTTTCAGAAAATACACAAATGCCATGCGCGTTGCATTATCTTCAAACAGTGCAAAATATTTCGTTGCACCTATAGAAACTTCTTTCATTGGACCGCACAAGTCTGCATGTATCAGTTCCAGCTTTTCCTGAGCTCTACCTCCTTTTTTAGGAAATGGCAACTTGTGTTGTTTGCCTCCAAAACAAATTTTGTAGTTTTGCTTGGAAAGTTTCACCTTGCATGTGAAATCCAGCCCATCAACAGAATTTTCCACTTTATTCAAATCTGTCGAGTTTATGTGTCCAAATCTCTGGTGCCAGGTATCAACAGTTGCCAGCAAACAACCTGCAGCCTTGTCTATTTTTAATCTATAGACATTTTGTACTAACTCAGCTGTGGCTACTAGTTCCTTATGTTTATTGTAAATTTGGCAACCCTGTGTGTCAAATTTTACCAGGTTCCCATTTTTTATCAGTTGACTTACTGACAAAATATTTGTTGTCACCTGTGCTACACAAACCACATTTTTAACACATATTTCGTAGTTCCCATTTTTACACACTGTTGTCAGCTTTACGTCAACTGTGCACGTAACTGGTATTTTGGTTTGATTGGCCCTGTCATTCAGATCACACTCGGTAGATATATTTTTAAGCCATTCTTCATTCCAACAAATTACACAAAGATGAAGACTTGCTCCTGCGTCTACATACCATTCTGTCTTCTGACAATCTTTCTCACTTTCAGCTATTTCTACATGTTTTTCACCTGTCATCTTGGGACTTTTTGACCTTATGTAACCATTTTCTTTGCATCTATAGTACTTAGGACCTCTATATTTTTTCTTTTCATTTTTTATTTTATATATTTATATAACAATAAAGAACCTATCCACACATCAGCTATAGCAAAGTTTGGCTATAGCAAACCCGTTTCTTTCAATCTCTGTGCAGTTTCTACAACTTTATTGACATAGTCACCCATAGATTGACGATTTTCCATCCTTGAACAGATCAATTTTCTCAATAAATTGATTCTATTCGCGTCTTTGCCTTCGCACATTTGTCTGCGGCACTTTCCGAACCATCAACACAGCCCCAAAGTCCATTCAAAATCAGGATATTTTCGATTGCAAAAACACATTCTTCCAAATTTTCCCGGCCTTTTAGCTGCGGTACACTAGCCTGAAAGTTAACCGCCATGTCGATCAATTTCCACGAAAAATACTGAAAAATTTCGAATTGCTGGACGCATAAACTGATAAAACGCACTACGCAGCTGCTTTAAGAGACAGCGATGAAACAACAAAGTATATTACTACAGTAACGCACAATCATGACATACTTGATGACATATGTATAACATTATTAAACCAGATACAAACTAGACGCATAAATGTCGTGACCTGTCATAATACAAAATAACAACATAATCAGGTCTATGATGTATCATTTTCTGTTATTTTAACCGCAACGTTAAGTTATCTGTCACTATTCAATCTACACATAAAAATAGAGACAGGTATAGATTTTGAGCTATAACACAACTGTTAAAATATCAGGAGAGGATACATCATAGGCCTGATTTTCTAAGAACTTTCAACACTTGTGGAAATATGTCAGGGGAATAAATGATTAATGGACACTTGGATAATTTCCTAAACAAGTAAATGGTTCTAGTTACAAAATAAGTCGAAATTCAATAACTTAATGCAAACATTAACAGTGGAAAACTTGGTTAAGAAAATTTGATTAATCGACCCTTTCATTCTTATTAATACAAAGTTGAAACAGCTGCATACATGTTTGCACTAGTAAGGAAAATAAGTTTTCCATAGATGGATATTTCCCTATAATTAGGAAATTGCTGATATTCTGGTGTTTTGTGACAATACAGTGGTACCTAATTGTTCATTTTGAGGCCACTCTTAGTTGAAAGTAACATGGGAAAAATAAGAAGAAGAATTTGAATCGAGCTAAATATGCATATTACATATAAGATTTATTAGTGCCTGAATTTTGTTAGCACAATAGGTATACGTATGTAAGTAATCAAATAGTACCTCACATGGTTTATAAATATGAAAAACCTTCCTAAAAAGTGACAGGTCTGCATAGGGTTTCATCGAGACGAGAAATCTCGTCTCGAAGGCAATTTCTCGTCTCGTCTCGATCATCGAGACGAGAAATCAACAAAATCTCGTCTCGATGTTTTTCTCGAAGACAATTTCTCGATCTCGAAAGCGCGAAAAATTTGTATGGTTTAAAATACACATTTTTAAAAGTGACCAGTTTTAAAAAGCGCTTTTAAGTTAAAAGAGGATATTGCATACAGCTGATAGAATTTGAGTGTTTTTTTTTATAGGTACTGGGTGATATAGGGAATGCGGTAAAAATTCAAAATTTAGTTCAAGGGTCTTTTTTTCTTTAAGAATATGGATATATCAATTTTTTGCTTTTGTTATTTGCTTTGTTATCTTTGTTTTTTTTTTATGTTTTGTTAATTTTCTTATGTTTAAAATGAATTAAAATGATTTCGTATTCCCTAACATAGTCTTTTATTTTCGCTTTTCTGACGTATTAAGAGTTGTCTGTGCTTTAGGTATTGCAGCACCTAAATTTTTTCGAGATCGAGAAATCTCGAAAAAATTTCTCGATCTCGAAAAATCTCGAACTGTTTTTCTCGATCTCGTCTCGAAAAAAAAAAGTTCAGTCTCGTCTCGATCTCGTCTCGAAATCGAGACGAGACGAGACGAGAAATCTCGAATTTCGAGAATCTCGTGAAACCCTAGGTCTGCAGCCTGGGTTGTAAGCGACCTGTCAACCGGTCAAAAATGCTGACATTTCTTGTAAATCGCAGAAAAAATCCATTCTGGTTTTCTGGCCAACCTTTCCATGCCCACTGTGAAACCCTTGATAAAACTGGATCTTTCCTAGTTTCTAGGGCAATGTCTTTAGCGCAGAAAAATTTTTTTGGGATGTTTTCTAGCATCAGGACCTCATCTGCCGCTGGGGCGTCTGGAGTATTAATATTTAAAGGTAGTCTGCTCAGAGCATCTGCATTTTAAATCTTGGAACCTGGCACATAAACCAAATCATAGTTGTATGCGGCTAACATTAGAGTCCATCTCAGCATTCTGGGTGAAAGTATTTCTGGAACAATTTTCTTTGGTTTGAAAATACCTAGTAATGGCTTATGGTTTGTCCTGATAGTTACTTTGCGGTCAAAAATATAATCATGGAATTTCTTAATTCCTGTAATTATGGAGAGAGCTTCCTTATCAATTTGGGCAGAATTCTTTTCGCTGTGCGATAGTGTACGACTGTGATATGCCACTGGAACTTCTCTCCCATTATCATTTGGCTGACTCAACACATAGCCCACACCACAGCGTCACATGTTAAAATGAGGTCTTTTTTTATGTGTATAATGTGCTAAAACTGACTCTTCACTTAAAATGTCCTTTAATGCATCAAACGCCGCTTGTTCTTCGGTATGCCACTGCTATTGCGATTCTTTCCTCAGAAGGCAATGCAATGAGTTTGCTATACTTGCTTTGTTTTTAAGGAAGACATGATAAAAATTCAAAAGTCCAAGGAAAGCCTGTAGCTCAGTCTTATTCTTAGGCGCCGGGGCATTAGCTATCGCCTGGATTTTCTCTTTAGTGGGCCGAATACCATCTTCACTTATTCGATATCCTAGAAAATTTATTGACTTGGTATTAAACACACATTTATCTTTGCGTAAATTAAGTCCATCTTCTACACTATTTCTTTTCGTTCTAGAATAAATGAAACAAAATGCTGACGGGACGAATGAGACGGGTTGTTCGTCGAAAAAAAGAAAAACTAACAAACAAATGAAACCCACCCTGCCGACAAATTACAATAGGCCTCGTAAAACTAACATGAAGCCAGTGCTGGTAAACCAAAAAAAGAAAGAAACAAAAATAAATATCGAATCATCGACGCGAGATACAATAGCAGAAACTATTGCTTTTGTAATCAAAGGTCAACTTACACCTATCAAACCCATTTCCTTGCCTTCAAACAAACCAGCCAAAGCTATCAACAAAAGATTACAAATAACACGATGTAAAAGTAAGCAAAATGAAAGTAAAAATGAAAAAAACAGTCTAGGAAAACTATCTGCGAAGGGTAATCCCAAAGCAGTCCCAACAAAACGTACTACTGCAATTAAAACTGACCACCCAATTCTGCAAAAGAGTAAAATACCACCAAAAACAATAACCATTGAAGAGCTAGATAATTCCGTTAACAAAATTTTAAGCAGATATACTAAAAAACTAAACGTAAAAGGAAACACAAGACCCAATGAAAATAAACCCAATAAAAAATTAACAAAAGTTTCTAAAATAATTAAACCCAAAAATAAAAAACGGAAAACTTCTATGACGTTGATAGAAACTAAAAACCTTGTTAAACCCAGAAAATATGTAAGAAAGAAAAAAATTATTCAAAATCCTAATCAAGACAAAGAGACAATAAATGATGTTTCACAAACAGAAAAAAATAATGAACCTGACAAACAAGAACTAATGGAGATTAAAATAAAAGAAGAAAAAATGGATGTGGATTATTCCAGCGTCGGTAATATCAACAAAGAACAAGAAAACGCCATCACTAACGAAATTAAAAATGAAATTCTCGAAGATGATTCTAAGCAGAAAGAAGTAACCAAAGACTCAGATAAACAAAAAAATACAGTTGTTAAAAATTCTAGGACAAAAAAAATTAATTTAATAAAGAAAAAACCCACAGTAACCAAAAAACTTCAAAATCGTTTAGATGATAAAAGACGAGCTAAATTAATACAGTTTTGGAACAGTCCCAAAAGACATCGCGTGGCCTCTCTAAACGCTTTAGCAAAAGTTCACTGTCTTTATGAAAATGAATCAAAAGCAGCTTTCGAAAAAATGACCGAAAATTCCTTAATAAAAAAAGAAACATCGTTAACAGAAAATACTCAAAGAAAAAATATTACCACAATATTAGACAGCAGCGATGATGATGGTAATGATGATGAAACAGACGATGAATTGCCGGTAAAAAGGGTATTACGTGATGTTCCTGGACTACGTGGCGTAGGAAAACTCTGGGATATGCATGATTCTATAAGCTCAGATAACAGCGATATTGAAATTCGAAGGTTTACTCCCAAGAAGACAGTTAGGGTAAAGAAGGAAGTAGCAAAAAAAAGCGCTGAAAAGCCCATCAATAAAACGGTCACAACTACTGTCAGGCGAAAACCTAAACCAGAAATACCTATGGATCTAAAAGATATGGTAGTAAAGAAACGTATGGCAAGTCTGAACGCTTCAGCGATGCTTGCAGCTAGTTACTCAACAGATAAAAAAGGAAAACCTAGCAAATTCACAGACTCATCTAGTGATTATGACACAGATTCATCAGCTGAAGAATATTTTGCAGCAATACAGCAAATCGATTTAACCAAAGATACCAAAGAAGATAATATAAAACAAGAAGATGGAAATCTTATCGAAGTCCATACAACACCTAACAAGAAAGTGGCTGTTATTCTAAATCAAGACACTGATGTTACTATAACAGGAGTGTACGTTAATAGTACAACTAGATCTACACATCACGAAGGCTACTGTAGCATTGCTGGAATGCAGTACAGGATATCAGCTACTAGTCATACACAGACTGCTGCTACAGCTGTTGCAACTGAGACTTTGATTCAATCCAGCAACAGCTCAGATAATGTAAGTAATTGATATTGAAATTCATGAATAATCCTTTTGTTGATTATAGGCGCATTTGGATGCACAATCGTGTTCATCAAAGTCATACACGCCATTGGATGCGCTATCCAATATGCAACCACCTCCAGGTCCTGGCATCCACAATGCTCCACCAAGTCACGCTGGAATGCCTTGTCAAGTAAGTATACACTTGTGACAAAATCAATTCTATTTAATTTTCGAAAGAAAACGCAAAGTGTTCCTCCAGTTTCTAGGATAGAAAGCCTCACTATCAGGCTAGATCTAGACATCGCATTTGGCAGAGGAAAAGAAACAGAGAGTTTTTTTTTCTGTGTCTTAACTTCCTGTTTCTTTTCCTCTGTCATGAGGTTTTCTATCCCCGAAACATGTAGGGCTCTTTAACGTGATTGAAGTATTTTATGGAGGAAGACTGTAACTCCTCTTTGAGAAATGGACTAGGTACTTCTTCAATTTTCAATTTTTTTTTTAACAAAATTTACTATGCAGATCGGTTCACCGCAGCTTCGTCAACGATCTTCGAGCGCATTTTCTTCACCACATCATGGACATCACGGATTTCATCCTGTTGTTCCTTCTTCTGGACAAGTGGGACTTTCTCCATCTGGCGATTCGCCTGTGGGATTTGTTCATGGTAAGTGATGTTTTGATTTATGGTGAACAGTAACTACATCGAGAACAAGCTATATTGATAGCAACATCAAGTGGAATTGGTTTAAATTCGTATACATCTGCTTCAAATGATGTGTGTTTCATTTCCTGTGAAATGATGAACAATATATTCTAATATTTCGAGTTTGGGCAGAATTTCTTTGGTAGAATTCAGGTCAAAAATCAACTGATCTGGCTGTTTTTAAGCCAATTCAAGAGAGCGACACAGAGCAGAATATCTTCTAGCATCGGGAATACAACTTTTTCTTTGCTTTTCTGCTGTAACTAACTGCTTTGAAATTACATGCTTCTGCAAGCTGGTTCAGTGAGTTCAAATATTGATGAAAGTCACCTGCTTGCTGCTAGTAGAGTGAATTAGTCCTAAATGGCTTGTAATTTGCAATATTTCCAGATTTATAGTTTTTGACAAAATTTGGACCAATGTCCACTTTGAGGCTCAATTGTTCAAAAATTATCCGAGCTATTGAACTCAATTTTGCACAGATCTATAGAGAATTTAAGGCTCTTTCCAATGACGTATAATTTGTTTCAATTTGCTCAAAATTTACCAAAGATATGGGCAATTGTTCATGACCATGTCAGGATTTGGAAAATTTTCCAGAGCCAAAAATAGGATTTTCTTTTTATTTTTGTGTCTGCTTGAAATGGCCATTTGGAATTGATATAAAAGTTGTTTTCCACTAATTTTGACCGGCTCTATCGATTCATCTAGTCAAAATTGAGCAATACTAAAAAATAAAAAAATCGAATTTTTCGTAAGGGTTACCCTCTTTGAATTCTGATTTCAAAATATTCAAACCTCAATTGCTCGGTAACCGTTGTGCAAATTGCAATGAAATTTCCAGAATTTGTAGCTTTTATCAAGTTTTAAATGGCCTGTAATTTACAATATTTCCAGATTTCTAGTTTTTGAGCAAATTGAGTTTGAAGTTTTTAACAAAATTTGGACTAAAAGTCAACTTTGAGGCTCAATTGCTCAAAAACTATTCGAGCTATCGAACTGAAATTTGCACAAATTCATAGAGAATTTAATACTCTTTCCAATGGTATATAATTTAATTCAATTTGCTCAAAATTTATCAAAGGTATGGGCAATGTACTCATAGATAGAATTACTTATATCAAGTCTATCATATCCATTTTTCTCTGTGTGGAAATAAAGCAACGTAGTGTATCAATCGCAGATCTTAATTAGTATCAAAAAAAATTATACACTATTCTGTAAACCTAGAAACATTCGAATTGACCAAATCAATCAAGTAATCCGAGTCTTATGTCGCAATGGCTATATTTTATTGGTGTTTTAGCTGTCCGCACGTTGGTCGTAAGAACTCGTATATCTAAATCATTTAGAAAAAAAAGGCGAAAAGTAAAGGAGACAAAGCACCTCCTTGGGGAACGCCATACTTCACTTTATACTTCTCTGACAATGCTCCGGGTTCATGTTAACACGAATTTAGCGTTTGTTCAGAAAAATCAGTTTATTTACGTTGCTTCTCAGACTATGTCCATAAATTACTTTCTTATTTTTGTTCAACATTTTCTAATATACAAGGACTTTCAAAGAAAGTAAACGTGATCTATTATGTGCTCTTTAGTGTTTTTCCTAAATAAAAAACTCCATTTGCTATGAGCGATAAGAATCCCTCGTGATTCAGACACCCATGATACAAAAAAAATATCCCTATGAATCATAAATCCAGACACCATGCGCAGCATAGAAAAGAGCCTTGAGAACGGACAACACGTATATATGGATAGAGAGAGAAACTGACTTCCCGGTTACGTCCGTCTGTTGGTGTCGTGCCGTTCCGGCCTTTCCTTTCCAGAGAAATCCACAAGCGGACTGGCGCCTCGCCTTTCCCGCTTCTGCGTCAGTTGTTTACCGATTCAATCGCCACGTGTTTGTGTCTTCCATTCGATTTATTTATTTATAATGTTTCTGCGGTTAAACATCGCCAGTAATCCGACTACATAAGGACTTTTCAAGTGCCGGTATTTGATTTTTTGGTGCAACGGTATGTCAGTGACGTGGTTTTATTGTTTGGCACAACGTCGTAGTTGCCGAACGGACAAACAGTGCGAGCCGACGTTGGTGCTTCTCATTTAAGGAGGACACATTTTGTGTGTGCAGGCAATTTGGTTTAAAAACTTTTTTTTAAAGTAATTAGCTGCGTTAAAATATGTGAACTATATGAACAAATTTTGTTAATTTTATTTGCCTTTGTTTTCTGGATTTCCTTAAGCAACCTGTTAGGATTAGGAATGATCTGCAAGGATATAATACAAGCGATAAAAGGCAAGTGAAAGTCCTGCTTAATTTAATTCATACCTGTACAATTCATGCTTCTGTTGGAAGGTGGATAAAATATCATATTTTTCACTTGTATTGTTTGATAGTAGGTCCTATCAAGGACAAATATACAAGTATGGCATGACTATTATAATGAAAAACGTGTGAATCACACAAGTTTCAATTCTCGTTTTCTTTTAAATGTTTCGGAGTCTACTTTCGACCTTGTAACCAGCCAATAATTCCATTTTTCTGGAATTCTAGACTGAAGCAATCTAGAGTTTCTTATCCCTACAAGACTGACCTCAAATTGAACAAGAAATTCTCGGGATTTTATGGAACCAGGTTTGTCCTGTGGAACCATCAAGTGTCTGATAGTTTCATAGTGAGTTGATGCTCCTATGAACCATCACTGAAATGTCTTTGCTTAAGGCTCTCCACGTTAAGAAACATCATTGCTGTAACACTTAATGACGTTTCGCTAAAATCGTCTTGTTCCTTCTGGGTTGGTGTCTGAAATCAGACTCAGGGACTGAAGGCCCTTCTTGCAACTTAAGTCAGCTTTCATAGTAGGTCGGTGTTGCCGGATTTTGTTTGACTTTCGCGCATTCACATAGTATTGTTGCGCAAAAATTAACCCTTAAACTGTTTGAATAATGAATCTGAATAAATAAACCCTAATAGGCCTAGGTACAGTAAGACACCCTTAAGGAATGCTGCCAGCGCAACAAATTGCTCACGGCTACTCAGTAAATAAAAGAAATACTATTAATGATAATAAAAAAAAATAATTGAGAAATGTCAATAAATCAACGGGTACATCACCCCCTTGTGGTCCTCCCTGCAGTGTAAACATCCATTTACATTACTGTCTCATGACAGCTTCACAGCCTGGATAACAGACCCATCAACTTCTTTCTTAAATAGGGTAACTTTCAGTTCCAAGTTCAGTGTTGTGTGTACTCTGACACCCCAACTTTGAGACTAGCTAACTGTCGAAAAGGAAGAACCCAATGGTAAGGTAAAATCTAGTCACAGTTCGGGCTTCTAGTTGAACAAAACGTGCTCTTTGCTCACACAACAAACCAACAAAATAGCGTAGATTTTCGTCTCCAGAAAATTCTGAATGGTTGGCTTACAAATACGGGGACCAAATACAAGTTTTCATCCCCAAACTAATTAATACAGCAACCACTTGAGCTCCTAACGCCTCTAAAATCCCACAAAAGGTGGATGTTACAAGGAACTTGCTCAACGTGCGAATTTTAAATTGAACGACCTTATTTTCGGCAATTTATTAGGTGAGCTCATATGAAAAATTCCCCAGAATTCTATTTTTTTTTTCAAGATGCCCTCTGTTGCCAGATTTCCGGTCTTGACCAGGAAAACGAAACAATCAGCTTGAAAGGAAAAACCCAAACCACATCGATGACAAACAAAACTCAAAATTGTTATCCAATTTTCTTCCTTAACACTAATTAATTAATTAATAATCATCATCTACCCAGTCTTTAGTAAAAAAACTATAAAAATGACCACTCGTTCAGTGGTAGCAACTACAGTGACTCTATTACCCACAGTGGTCAAGAAACCTCGGCAACAGCGCTGCCTGAAACGGATCAACAAGTGTCCCATAACCACACTTATTCGGCGAAAATAAATAACCGGGAAAATGTAAATATTAGTGGAAATAAGGGTGAAAAGGCGATTTAAAGGGTGTGAAAGTGATTTGTGATGTTGCAGACTTTTAAATAATGGAAAATACGAGACTCGTAAGTGTTGACAATTGATAATTATTTGGAAGTAAACAAACAATTCCATCAACAGTGAGGGCTTTTTAGACAGCTTTCGTAAGCTAAATAAAATAGATTTCGATCCTAACAGTAGGGCTTTATTATCCTAAAACTACCCTGTTATCTGAATACAAAGAATTAACTCAGTATCACCCCGAAAAATATACCTTTGTTCAACACCCACATATTGTTTCGCATCGAATCAAAGAGGTGGAAATCTAGTAAAATCCAATGAGAAACCTATCAATCACCGAATAATATTAATCCTCAGGTAGAAAACTTCATAAATACCCTTATATACCTGAATTAATTACCGAATTCATTCGAAATCTCAGTTACGTTCTAAGGGAAAATTTGAACGAAACAATGTCTTGTGGTGTTGCCTGGATGCGATTTTACTAAATATAAACTATTACAGCACAAGACACGCCCCCAGCTTAGTCATCGCAAAATATAATCGCTCTCAGCGCGATTTTACTAAATATAAACTATTAGAGCACAAGAGACGCTAGCCCTTGACGTAATTGCAAAATATAATTGCGCTCAGCACATTCCTGCAAAATCTAATCGTTTGTAGCATGACGTGGCGGATCTAACCTCAAATTGTACTTGTTGTTAGAAGGTAATTATTATTTTTAGTGATTCCATTAATAAATATTTAAAATGTTTTCCTTTAAACTAATAATTCGGCACCTAAACTAGGGAGCAAATAATTTTCAAACACACACATTTCATTTAAATGTCGTTTATGTCAACATAGTCTATTATAGAACTGTGCAAACTTATTAGTGTGGTTACTGTGGTTTTAAGGTGTAACGTTTCTAGTTACTAGGAGAAGCACATATTATCCATTCCCAATCCGATGTCCACAGGTAC